TCTTTGTTGCCATATTTATCACCCTTCAGTATCTGTCTATATTTTTTAGATGAGGTATTATGTACACTATTTACATTCTTTTTCTCCTAATTGCTTCTTGGTCACTTTAAGAACTTCAGCACTCCCTCATGTAGTTTAAAAAAAATAGTGCTAACTCTGTAAAACTGTTGATCTTGTCCCCAATATTCACTTCCTGTGAGGATCGGTCCTCACCCTCTTACACTCACTTTTTGATTACATTACCCAAGTGCTTTAATTGGATAATTATGAAAGAAGCAAGTACTCTAAGCAAAGCAAATTAATAAAAATGTTTGTAATATTAATGTATACATTGGTCAACTGGCATGATGTGGAGAGACTATATTGTATCCATTGCTAGGTAAGCTGTGTCATGCAAGACAATTTTTCTCTCCAGAATTTATCTTACATATATATAAGTCTACCATTCGTCCAGGCTTAGAATATTGCTACCACATATGATCCAGTACCTGTCTATATTTCTGAGATGAGGTATTATTTACACTATTTATATTATTCAGACTATTGTCTATATTTCTGAGATGAGGCATTATGTACACTATTTATATTATTCGGACTATTCTCCTCATCGTTGTTGCCATATTTATCATAACGTTTTGGCCGTTGTACGCTCCGGCTTTCTTCAGGTGGTTGGAATGTCGAACTGAACCCTTTATTTCGCTCGCAGTGGTAGACTGTTGTAGTTCCACGTGCCATGTCTAATGGATGTCAGTTATCAGTTATCTCCTGTTAATTCACCTCTCAACCAGGTATTGAACTTACAACCCTTTGGATCCTGTCACTGGATCTAACCGACGCCTTTATCCACTGTGCCATGTGTCCTTAAGGAGGTAACTGATAACATCCATTAGACATGGCACGTGGAACTAGAACAGTCTACCCCAGCGAGCGAAATAAAAGTTCGACATTCCAACCACCTGAAGAAGACCGGAGCGTACAACGGCCGAAACGTTGTGATAAATATGGCAACAAAGATGAGGACAATAGTCCAAATAATGTAAATAGTGTATAAAATGTATTGTTGGTAATTTTTTATAAAAACATATTGCTGGTAATTTCACTACAAAAATGTATTGTTGGTAATTTTACTATAAAAATGTTCTGTTGATTTTTGTTTAGGAGTTCAATTTGCCCATAGCTGGAACCCTAACAGGTGCTACCACTCTGAAACACTTATTGTTTTACTTCGTTCAATGAGTGGGGAGAAATTCATATTCGTCTTTTTTTATTATTATTTAAGTCGTCCCGAGAAAGTGAGTTCATTCATGAGCAACTTAATTTACATTTAATGTCTTCCCTGATATTTAAACAAAATTGTGATAAATACAATTTGCCAAGCATCAATATAATATTTTCATTCTTAAATGTTTCATCATCATCATCTTAATATCAAAGAAGCTGCATGTTTCTTTTTCTTTTCATGGAGAAGAATTTGGTGATACGAACGAATACTGGGGGCGGGGCAATTAAACAGTGGTAAAAAAAAAAATCTTGTTTATTTTCATTTCTCACTGGAGATATGATTACTCCGTCTTTCAGATCCTTTCGCTAAACAGGGAGGAAATCTAACTTAACTCTCAATCCCAATTAAAAGACAAAACTCATCCTCTTCATGCGTCTCTGAAGTGTTGATGGTCCCCACTCTAGGAACACGCATCTTGACACCCGAATCTTAGTCTGGCATCGCCCCCCACTGATCTCTTTGTACAGAGGCCTCTTATTTATATCAGTTGATCTCCGCGTCTGCGACACATCATCCACGCTACAACATTCTACCAATTTTTTTTCTGGATTATCCCGGCTCATTTCAAGATTAAACATTGATTTTCGCTGAGGTCATTTCCTCCGATAATTATATCACATAATATGTCTTCTTAGGATATCAGATAATGTGTCTTCTTAGGATATCGCGTATTTCTTCAAAGGATATCGCATATTCCTTCATAGGATATCACATATTTATTTTTAGAATATCACATAATATGTCTTCTTAGGATGTCACATAATATTTCTTCTTGGGATATCACATAATATTTCTTCGTGGGATATGGCATAATATGTTTTCTTAGGACATCACATATTTCTTCTTAGGATATCACATATTTCTTTTTAGAATACCATATAATATGTCTTCTTAGGATATCACATAATATTTCTTGTGATATCACATAATATTTCTTCTTGGGATATCGCATATTTCTTTTTAGGTTGATCATATATGTCTTCTTAGGCTATCACATAATATTTCTTCTTGGGATATCACATATTTCTTTTTATGATATCACATAATATGTCTTCTTAGGATATCACATAATATGTCTTCTTAGGATATCACATAATATCTTCTTATGATATTACATAATATGTGTTCATAATGTCTATATCACAATATTTTTTTAGGATACAAATGTAATAAACTTCTTGTATTTTGATACTTTTTAGGGGGCAGATTGATGTCGTTTTAATGGTAGAACTGTCGAAATTACATTTTACTTTTCCATTTTTCCGCTTTGTTTATTCATTTTTTTTAGTTAGGGAGAAGTTTAATGAAGCATACGTTATTTTTGTTTAGCAACTGTCGGCTTCACACATATCTGTGTACGATCACTGAAGTTAAGCAACATCGATCGTGGTCAGTACCTAGATGGGTGACCGCTTGGGAATACCAGAGACTGTAAGCTTCAATGTGCGAGTGTTGTAATGGATAATAGCTCAGAATTGTTAATCGAGTAGCCGAGTTCCAATCGCCGTTGGGTTCGTTATATTCACTTACGCGCAAATACTCTTGGAGAAGGATATTAATCCACCTCTTCTCCCTCAGGCTATGGGTTAATTAATAAGAATTGTATCACTAAACCATTATTATCTCAAAAAATAATTCTTACAATCTAAAAATATTTTCTGGTTTTAAATAACCTGCAAAGTGTTGATATATCGTAGAAAACGAATGAATGAATCAATCACATATCTGTCCCTTCTGGTTGACTTCTCATCATCGAATTCACGTGGCTTAGTGTCGAATCCTTTCGACCCTCAAAATCCGTGAATCCACCTCTATGGCTAGCTAATTGTTCTTTTTATATTTATTCATAGCCATAGCTATTTTTTTACACATATCCATGCGTTACATAACCGGTCGTGGTGCTCCGCTTTCATTGGCGTGAGTTTAACTCTGTCATATAAGGTCACGTTATGCTGTCAAATATATTACATCATCTCACAACAGTTATCTTCCTCGGTTGTTGAAATGTGAGTTCATTTTTGCGCATATATGTCTGCATGTGGATATGTCTATCAGTGGTTTGCGTTCTGCGCATGTGCAGCATGACCGGTATTTCCTGCTGAAGGGACTAAGCACTTATTTTCTTTTTCTTTCATTCTTTTTTTGTTTTGTTTTTTATTTGCTTGTTTTATAGACCATTAAATGTAGATTTTCAAATAATAAGCAGCTATTAACCTATACGAAAATGTTCACATTTTATAACCGATAGACATTTGAACGCGACCATTTACGTTATTCCTAGAGCTATAAATCCCCTTGCTTCGTTTTAAATGTCTCCTTGTACCAAACTCTGTTTTATGCAAAATAAATAAAACGAAAGACGTCAAATTTACTAATTAACATTTATGAAACGCAAGTTATTAAATTATACTTCTTAGATTGCTGATGCGTATTCAGTTTGAAAGTAGTCCCCATTATTTCTAAATGCGCTTGGAAAAATAATCTGCTATAATTGAAATTGAACTGGAGGCTCCTAAGTTTTATGTTAGGCGCGTGACTAGCGTCTTTTTTTTTTTTAAAAGAAAATAAAAAATAAATTAACTATCTGCTTGTTAAAATACAAATTTTCTTGGATCTGAATATGCGTTTAGTTTTCGTCAGAACTTCTGTGATACCCAAACAAAATTGTAACAACTACTAATAATGATTTCTTTATCTATTATTGCCTTTGCAATGATCGGTGAAATAACGTATGACACTGGTCTTGGGTTTACTATTGAGAATTGTGAGATTAGTGCACTTTCAATGCATTTTGTTCTCAATTATTCTGGCCTTCCCTTGATCAAACTGGTCTATTTTAAATCAAAACTCAGATGTATTACGGTGAATGACCAGTGCGCTTGGATTGTTGTACAGAATATCTCTACGATGTTCTTATAATTTTTTTTTTTAGTTTTCTGGATGTTTCACCGATGTATATCAGTGAGCATTTTGTGCAATCTATTTCGTATATTCCTTTATCTGTTCCGTTGCTGTTGCTATCTAGTTGGATGCTTGCTACATCTCATTGTTTTCTCTCTGTTCTACAAATACTTTCATGGTAATTGCTCCGAGGAGCTGCATTCGCTGGTTCCCAGACTTCATGAGTTCAAGCGTCCTACGAAGCTGGCATCCCGCTCTCACCCCTTCACTGTCGAAACTCCTAAATATAGCCGTCTCTTCTACTCTAATAGCTTCATGTCTCGCACCTCTCGCCTGTGGAACTCCCTTCCCTATTCCAGTTTCCCTGAGAGCTATAATCTCCAGCTATTCAAGTGTAATGTCAATCGACATCTCCAGTTGCCTTGATCTATCCACTACCCTTCTCCTCATACCCTCTTCTATCACTCCTATCTGATCTCGCTCTATATTTTCTGTAACCCCTTGCATCCTAGTGGCTTCCCGCCTTGCTTGGGGTGAAATGCTTAAAAAGAAAAAATGAATTTTATGTAAAGTTTGGACAGGTTCTTTTTTGATGGTAGCTTTTATGGAGTTGGTAGGTAGGATTATGAATTGAAAAATATGGACAGACAGAAGGCCGGCCGAAGAATTAAATAAGGAACAAATAGGAAAACGTTTATAAATTTAACATGTTTCGCTTTTATTTGAGATTCACCATTTTTGATAGCGTTATTTAAAGTTAAACGTGTTAAATTTATAAATGTTTCCCTATTTGTTCCTTATTTAATCATATATAGGCTTACGGCCATATCACGTTGAAGCACCGGTTCTCGTACGATCACCGAAGTTAAGTAATGTCGAGCCGAGTCAATACCATATGAGTGACCGATTGGGAGTACCATGTGCTGTAAGCTTGGCTGTACGGGTGGTGTAATGGATTACGGCTCGGAATTGGAGAGCCGGGTTCCTATTCCAGTCGGATTCGTTATACTCACGCGCAAATACACAAGGAAAAGGTATGAATCCATCTCTTCTCCCTCAGCTATGGGTTAATTAGTAGGACTTGTATCAGTAAATATTTATCATTTCCCAAAATTTCTTACAATCTAAAAAGTAAAAAAACAAACCAATCAAATATATATATATATATATATATATATAGAACATAGTGAACATAGAAGTCAACACTTAGAGGCGACAGTCTGTTTCATGCTATATGCAATCGTCAGGCCACGTGTGCTGTTATTTTTCTCGGCTATTTATACATATACGGGTCAGTGGTGCATTGTGGGTAGTCTATTGTATAAGTCTATAAGCATTAAACTACTAACACTAATACTAACAATAAAAGAATTCCTGGATTTACCAAATTACAAAATTCATATAAAAACTTCTCACTTGAAATATTTGAACTTTAGCGTTGCGACTTGCACTTTACAATATTATATAACCGTTAATAAATAACACATTCTTAAAAAAACATCTTTCGGTCTACAACACAATTATTTCGTCTTCGAGTTTTGATTTTAAAGGAAAAAAAATTACAGCCTGATGATGAGGACGTGAAGTTCTTGAAAGTACTTGCTGCTGTAAAAAATACACCAGATCCATCTGACAACAATTTTATACATAAGGATCGCATCCTTCAGTGGACTGTTAGTAGTTTAAAGCTTATATTAAGTCTGTTAGCGAAGAGATTTCGCCATTAATTGCGTTAATATTGCTAATTGATTCAGTGTATGATTATCTCTTTATAATATAAAATATATGCTGCCTAATATATATATATATATATATATATATATATATATATATATATATATATATATTATTTAAAAAATAATTTACTTCGCGACACGGAAATTTCTGTTTCGGAACTTTAAATTTGTTTCATTATCAAGCGATGTTGGCTAACTTTTGACGAAAATGATTTACTTTTAAAAACAGAATGGTATTTTATTGAAGTTTTAAGAAGGAGGGTGAAACAAGATTTTAAAATTTTATGGGGATGTTCTGTTTGTCCAATGAAAAGATAAGTCAAAGCTAAAACAGAAAAGTGAAACAATGTAGGTTATGGGTTTTGTGGGGGGAGCGTTATTCATACTTGTCCAGATGAGCTGTCATTTTTAGACGTGTTACCATTATTTCCGGTTAAGAATATAATTTTAAGATACAATGAAATGATCATATATATATATATATATATATATATATATATATATATATATATATATATATGTATACAACAATAGGTTAATTTTTGGATTTTTAAAAATATTTTTGTATATACTTTAGAACTATCTTAAAGGGGCCTTTAGTATGATTACATCATTTTTATATATTATATTGAGCCTATATTACAATACTTATTATATTCAATGGTCCAAAAGACATGGCAATATTAAAATTAAAAATCGAGGAATTGAATAAATATTATATATACCATTATATATAATAAAATAATGGATATATAATTGTAATATATAGATTTTTTTTATTAAAAATTCTATTAATTTAAACTAAACATTGTACAATGCCTACATATTACAGTTAGTTCATTCCGCTGATTTAATAGATAATTATTTTTAGGAAACTTAATAATGTGTAGCTTTTCATGTAGACAAAGGGGACATGAGTCATTTAATGATTTACAAATTCTTGTTATATATAATGTATATTTGGGCAGCAACCTTTCTTTCAAACCTGTTTCGTTGAATATGACTAACAAGGAAAATTTCATGAATTTTTTACTGAGTTATTCTAGTATTTTTAATTTTTTCCATTTTCTGGAGGGTAAAAAGTTACCGTAGTGTCTATTGTCCCACGGGCTTTTGGTCATATCTTTAACCATTTTCAAGGGGTTTGTTGTTACCCTTCACCAAACAGAAGGATTTAAGAATACTAGAAAAATTCAATAAAATTAATCAAATTTTCCTTGTCTGTCATATTCAAGAATATATATATATATATATATATATATATATATATATATATATATATATATATATATATATATATATAAGGATGAGGGAGGACAACAGTCCGAACAATATAAATAATGGAAATAATTACAATAACTCATCCCAGAAACATATACATTGACGCTTGGTTAACTTAACCTGGTAAGTATGTACGTCTTTGTCAGTTTATATATACATATATATTCTAAGACATTTTTTATGTTTATACGTTCTTTTTATAGATACAAATATTTAAGTAAATGCTCTGTTTATAATAAACAGTATTAACGACATTTACCGGCCTGAATGTCCGAGAAATTTTCATAGAAAATATGCGTCCTCCGACAGGAATTGAACCTGTATCCTATACGGAACCGTCATATAGCCTGACGTGCCTTTACCGATTGGGCCACAGAGGAGCGTTCGGTTAGCAAGGTCGATTTTACTTTTTTTAAACACAATTCTCCATGATTTTCTCTTATTCATTCTTATCTGCTCAATGCGTATCCAAATGTAAATAAATTGTGCAGATATGAATGAATGAGAATATATATATATATATATATATATATGTGTGTGTGTGTGTGTGTGTGTGAGAGAGAGAGAGAGAGAGAGAGTAGTGGTTATACGATGTTGTATGGATTAAATTAATCAATGAAATCACCGGGAGCTTTTTTACTATATAAAATAGTAAGGAACAAATAGGAAAACATTATTTGGAACAAGTTTTCAGCCAATAGTATATATTCTCGTATTTGTCTCGTAACTGAGATCTAATGCGTCTTTCCCATCAGAATCATTCGCGCTCAGGTAAAAAAAAAAAAAAAAAATTAAATTTAGAACGCTGAAGTCAGATCAGATTTTTCAATGAAAGCGGAAATTGGAAAGGATTAAATATTTCTTGTTGAGTTCATCGAATATCCTTCATAATTTGTGGCGGGTGGCGCTTATAATTTTTTTCTAGATGTTAAATCGATTTGCAGCCTTCTTGCCAACCCTATTAGGTGATGTCATATATATATATATATATATATAGATAGATAGATAGATAGATAGATAGATAGATAGATAGATAACTATACTCGTTTCGAAAAACCCTCGAATTTTTGATTTGCCAATAATCAAATCAATCTCGAGGGAAAAAAGGTTTTAAAAAAAGAAAGAGCTACAAACATGAAAGTCTGTCGAAAAAAATCGCACAGATGCAGGTTTGAAGCCCAAAGAAAAAAACCCGATAGGAGTAAACAACTAACTAACAAAAGAGCTCAATACAACCGTAGAGCAGACCTAGATAAACCTAGTGAGCCAGACAAACCTACCTAGTTTTCAACTAAACGGATCGTCAGGGAAATTTGGCTCCAAACTTCCCGACGATCCGTTTAGGTGAAACCTAGGTAGGTTTGTCTGGCTCACTAGGTGTATATATATCTCTCTCTCTCTCTCTCTCTCTCTACATATATATATATATATATATATATATATATATAAAAATTTTATTTTATTAAGAATTTTCCTAAAGTCTTCAAAACGAAATAATACCTAAAAAGGAATTAAAAATCATAACTAGCTTGTCGGCACCGGAGCTATCGCTACATACGGAAATACATTAATTCGCATTCGCATCATCATCTTCAGTTTCATGATTTTGTGGTCGTAGGATCGCTGAGCAGCTGACCACCTGACTTATCCCCTCTACATACCTGGATAGAAAGCCTGAGAGTTATTTAATTCAAGCTCGTTTTGGAAATCTGGTGAATCTAGATCAAAGCACGGGCGATGTCCTCCTCTCCCAACTTGTAGGCCCGCCTTGGTCACAGAAACGTGGCCGTTGATTCCATCATCCACCCTGACCTTTGACTTCCAGGAAGCCCTCCGTTCGGTGATGCCGTGTCATTACCGCACTGGCTGTATACATAGCTATGGAGTTTTTTCTATCCAGTTGTACTTGATGGCCTTTCACCCTATAGGAAGGTTCATCCTCTCTTTGAAAGGTCTTGTTTTTAACCCTCGTGTGTGTATAGCCAACTTTTTCACTAGTAAAGCCTGTTGGTTGAAACGGTTTAGTCGCCGGCTAACCGACCATGCGGTGGGTAGTACTAGGTTAGATGGTACCAGTATTCTTCTTTTTCTTCTTCTTTCTTCTTCTTCTTCTTATTATTATTATTATTAATAGAAGAAGAAGTCCAGAATTATTATTATTATTATTGTCATTATTATAATTATTGATATTATTATTATTATTAGAAGAAGAAGAAGAAGAAAAAGAAGAAGAATTACAGAATTATTGTTATTATTGTAATTATTATTGTGATTATTATTATTATTAGAAGTCCGAAATTATTATTATTATTATTGTTATTATTATAATTATTGTTGTTGTTGTTGTTGTTGTTAGAAGAAGAAGAAGAAGTTGAGAATTATTATTATTGTAATTATTATTGTGATTATTATTATTATTAGAAGTCCGAAATTATTATTATTATTATTGTTGTTGTTGTTATTATTAGAAGAAGAAAAAGAAGTTGAGAATTATTATTATTGTAATTATTATCATTATTATTATTATTATTATTAGAAGAAGAAGAAGGAGACGTCCACCATGATAATACTAATAATAATTTAGGATGTTGTATTTCATACATATCCCTGAGCAAATGAGAAAAATCAGATTAAATTGTTGTAAAAAAGAAAAAAAAGGAAAAAGTAGAAAAAAAAATCGTCAAAAGAAAATTAAAACGTAAGGCGTAAGTGATTCTGCCGTCTCAGCAGACCACAGAGAGAAAATATAGATAATAAATATCATGACTTATGACATATTCAAAAGCAGACAACAGACATCTGATGTGAAACAAAACATTATAATAAAAAGATAAGAAGCGGCCGATAATACTACCATATATTGTTATAGTAATGAAGATGATAATTATGAACCTATAATAATAATAATAATAA